TGTCTAGCTTTGATTTGGCCCCCCTCCCCACCACCAAAAAGTGGCTTTGCTAGCAATATAGAAGTATTACATCGAATAATCGATATCTTGATGCCTTACCCTCTTTGTCACCGTTAACAGCAACTTGTTCTTGCAGCATCCTTCTGTGCAAACTCCTCGTTCTCATGACGCAAGTATTGTGTTTCATTCTCGCTATCGTGATTGTATGAGGATTATTATACGGAGCGTCCATTGCGGCTCTAGCTTTATTACTGGCCGCACTGCACAACGCGACTGCCGTGTTAAGATCGCCAGCATCTTCGGCGGCTCGAGATTTATCCAGCAACGCGTCCGTTTCTTTGCATAATCGTTCGCAATCGTCGCCGGATGAAGGTTGGTAACCTTCCGGTATTTGAGCGAGCTGCAAGAGATGATAGCCAAATTACGAAAGAATACGCACAAATATCTAGCGGTAACGAGTGAAAATTTAAAATATTTGAAAGTTTATACGGTCTAAGTTCTTACTGTTATTTTTAAACTTGTTAATATATTTTATCTACCTGTAAATTGTGCTTCAAACCCTGCTGAAGCGGAAGACTGTCCGTGGAAGACAAAGAATACGAGTCGTAACCAGCGTCGTAGTGACCGCTGCTACTGCTCGAGAGTTCCCCAGATTTGCTGATGGGGCTTTTAGGTACGCCCGAGTTCCTCTGCATTTTGTTAACAATGTACAGATACGTATTGTCCATCGTAGTTGACGAGCTCGACGACGCGCTGTTTCGATCACCGGACCAATTACCGGAGTCCCGTCTTCGAGGCACGTTCATATGATCAGGGATGCTAATACCATCTTGCGGCGCCGATCCCACGCTTAAGCTACGCGTCAACTGCATCTGCTGCTTTTTCTGTTGATGCATTACATTTTCCACGGCGCGACGGCTAATATACTTGGAGTCTATTTCGCCATCAACCGCGTCCACGCCCTGTGTAATATTATTTTGATGTCAAAAAATTAAATGCAAATGTCTATTTGCTTCAGTAAGAGAAAAATCTAAAAGATCATTTATGAGCATTGATCGTCAAACGCTACCTGATTGACGAATATATTATTCTGGATGTCTGTGAGATTCTGGTAATCACTGTAAACGCTTCGTTGAGTGTAGAGGTGCGGCGGACTATCAGGATTAGGTGTGATGGCACGTCTGGCAGTGCTGTTGATAGATGGCTTCTCAGGACTAGGTGTAATCGAACGGCGAACGCTATTCTTTGGGGACGTCTTTAGGCCATTACTATTCGGGAAAGGGATAATAGTCTTTGGAGCGTTCTCGGTATTGACAGGAGTTCCAGCGGGCGTTGCATACAGGAGCAGCAAAGGTTGATATCGGCCTCGCCTACACTTTTCCACAACTTGCTCCCACCGGGGTCCAATTTCCTTGACAGTAGCATCGTCGAAATAAATCCACACCTAAACATTTGTTTTATCACTGTGTTAAATCGTGCTACAAACTGAATCGCTGTTAAAACCACCGGTCGATACTAAGGTAATGGCCTTCGATTAATTAACGACAAGGTACTGACCTTTAATTTCGTATGGAAGAAAAACGTGGAATAATGTTTCCCGTAATAGGTAACCACTCCTACGAGATTATGTACAGTAGAGGCGCCCCATCGAGAGTCTACCACGCTATGGAAGACATCGCTAAGTCGAAGGGACGTGCCCACCGTCGCAAAAACGTCCATGATATGCTCCAACGACGGTCGTTCGCTGTCCCACACGACACCGACAGAAACTATTTCCGGCCGATTCATCAGGGTCCGGCATATTTGAATTTTCGCACCGCAGGAACTCTGAGCATGGTAAACGGAGAGAAACATATTTTTTATGCGATAAACCAGTATCGAATCTTCAACAGCGATAACAATTTCATGATCACATTTTGGCCGCTTGGCGTACCACTTTCAAGAGAAAGTTTAGAACCGGATGTAAATTCGTGGAAAGAATGTATTCATAAAACTCGTATTCGAGTGAGTCAGTTCTACATAATCTTATTTAAAATCCAACGTTATGAGTGGACTACCGCGAAATTGATGGCAAAATATAACGCGGTAGAACGTGCCCAACGCGTTCGTCACAATTCGACCAAAGATTTATAAAAAATACTTACCGGACAATCACGAATGTCACCCATGCCGCCAGCTCTTCGTAGAAGTTGTCCGAAGAGATCCGGATTATTTCTAGAATTTAGTGGTGTTTGATGAGCTTGAGAAGTCAACGCTGACGCAGACACGTAATGAACCATCTGCAAAAAGAATGGAAATGATAGTGCATGTGTTCTTTTTTTATTTAATAAATTCGTAGTTTAAAAAAAGTCATAAAATATAAATTAGCAAAGGAAACTCGGATAGTTTCGACAAATGAGATATAAAAGTCATATACTTAAATTGTTAAGTCAAATTCATCGAAAATAGATTATAAAATATCTTCTATAAACTTTGTTTATAGACAAGTAACAAAAATGTATAATCTATATGGAATTTAATAATCATTGGCAAAGCTGCAATCGGATAAAGCTAACCGGTTTTGATATAAGCCGAAGAGATCTGGAATAAAATTTAACAGGAAATCTGCTGTCTCGTGTTTAAATCATTTTAAATAAAACTTCGCTACATTTGATTAATATTGAAACAAATCAATGTATCGATGAAATAAAATAAAAATATATTAACAACCTGATGTGATTTCAAATAATTTAAAAAAAAATTAATCTCGATTTCTATCATATTGTATTTGCAGATTTGATCAAAAAATTAATACTGGTTAAATTAACGCCTATCTATTTCAATATCACGATCGAATCTGTTATTGAACTGCCGGCATGCTGCTAACATTCTGCCTAGCGGGTAACAGCAACTAGTTTCATGCTTTTTACGGTTCGCTGGTCAACGATGCCCGATGTGAACACGCCAGGAAAACCAACTCCACCCACGAGATGCTGAGCGCTATATGTGGCATTATGCTGCTCTCTTCCGTTTGCGCGATATATGTTTTTGAAATTGTAGAAGGATTGCAAAGGAATATTAATAGTGCAAAATCAAATTACAAGAATATATTTGTACCATACTATTAGTAATCGAATACTATTTTATTAAAACAAGGCGCTGTAAGAAAAACGATACCACAGATGTTAGTATACAAATATGTCAATATGTAAAATCCAATTCTGTTTTCGACGGTTCGCAGTTGCAAACCAAATTTAAAAAATCAACGAAATATTGATATAACACGCTCGTTTTATGACTACTCGTTATATAACTACTGTGCAATAGTGCATACCACGGTACGAGAAAATTACAAAACAAAATTTTAACAAGCGAAAACAACATATTTTTTTAAACGAGATATCTCTTTTCACAGTTGTAAATTTAAATTGTTTGCATTAAGTTGATGTTTTGCACAAAGAATAATTTAGGAAAAAATTTGACTGTCACATAAGTAAAAATAAAAACAACTAAAAATTCTGTTAAAAATAGAAAACATATAGAAATAAAATGAAAATTACATACTTAAAGGTTATTTTTTTACTCGATTATAAGTAAAATATTTTTATAACTAACAAATTCATTAATAATAACACTAACAAACTCTACATTCTGTTTTTCTTTTAATTTCTTTTCTGTGAAAATAAAACGTGAGAAAAGAAGCTGAGTCCTTAGATAGGTAGGAAAACCGTGACACTATCATCTTGAAGGAGCAGATGTTTATGGATAGAGGAAAAGGTCCCCAAAAAGGTTTTATATGCTTCAGGTAAAATCTAAGATGAACACTACGAACGTGCAAAAACGGAAGAGAAGCGCCGAACAGAAAAAAAAAAGAAAACGGATCGCCCGAAGATGCGATTGAACGTCAGTTTGGAAACAAATTTTCTACTTTAGCAACGAAAATGGTACATTCGCACGTTTTACTTTTATACATCCTCTCAAAACTATTGCTAGATGAATGCGCAGAGGAAGAGTAAATATATATTAAATATTAATAAAGGAAAATCCTGTATTATAAGATAGGTTTCTAATATGAGATAGCAGGTTTTCAACATCCAAATTCAATCGCAAATCTTTTTTCGCAACGATTACGCAATCTAACAATGAATTTTCGACTAAACAGATTTCCCTCCAAGGGCAATAAATTCATGGAGGAATCAACCGATAATGCCTATGAATTTAAGAGAAATCCGCTATCTCATATTAGGATCCTATCTCATAATATGGGACTTTCCTCTATATATTTATTCTTCCTCTGCCATTAATATGTATAAAGTAATATATATACATATGTATATATAAATTACCGAATTTTGTAAAGAGTGTAGAAAATAATGAGTCATTCCAGTCATTTAACTAAAAGACGCCGCGTTTGTATTTTTCGATCGTGATATTTCTTGAGTGGTTTTTTATATAACGATATAGCAATGTATAACAAGTATACAATGTGAAAAGCATGATATTAATTAGACGGACCTGTGTAAAAGGCAGTGGCTCCGACGTTGCACCGCAAACTCCACAGACGCTTTGCTCGACGAGCGTCATGGCAAATTTCTGATGCGGCACACAATGCCTCGCGCTACACATATCTTCAGCCTCACCGCTTGCTATGTGAAGGTGTATACGCAAGAGAATGTTTTCCTGAAATTGAAAAAAAAATTATATATAGCTAAAGAGCGCATTCCTTCATGTTTTCTACCGCAATTCGTAGCCTGCCTTTGTAAGACCACGTTAAATGCACATAAGGCAGAGCCATTCCAATCTCAGTATCTCCATCGGATGTTTCTTATAAAACTAAAGTATATAATTTTACTATAAAATAATTTATAGTCATCAACCTCACACATTCAGCTTAATGCGTTATAAGGTATACGCTAGAAAATGCTAACGCGGTAAAAATATTGCGTTTGAGAATATGCAGACTAACGGTATGCCACGGTTATGTTACTGTCCTTGCATCTATTGTACGTTTCCCTTGTGTAAGTGCCAAGTTGCATTGATATTATTCAGCCGACTAGCGTTGACATACATACGAGTATACTAGTGTCCAACGTGACTGTTGTGCAAACGAGAAAGTAGTATACAGTCGGTATTCGCAAGGCTCAGCTAAGATCATTATTGCTAGTCCAATCTCGTCCGTAACTAGGCATCATTAGAAACATTCGATCAGCTTCGAAATATTCAATAATGAAAATAACGAGGTTCTGCCTGCACCGCAGAGTGAGAGAAAATCCTGAGGGAAGGACCTCGATTTGAGTTAATTCCATTACATTTAGTAATCTGGGCCTTCTATGCCATAAGACTTTTTATGTTATTGGCGGAAAAGTCCCTTTCTCTTTCCTCAAATACAAAATTTTTCTTAATTGCAGAGAAAGATATGTGCTGTTTGTTAACTCTACTTTTCGTGTAACACAAATTTTCAGATTCAATTAATTAAAAGAGAATCATAAAAATCGATTCTTCACTCGGGAACGCAATCTACAACAAGTGATAAATAAAGAAAAGTATTTTAGCAGGTTTAGGTCGATTGCCAATTGGCAAATTAAAATTATGTGCATCAATATCTCACTGTTTCGATCAGTAAAGGCATCTGGAAAATCCAAAATTGTTGGCACTTACGAAACATTCTGCCGCGTCGTCCATAAAACCGAGTTGAAACCTCTGCTGATCGAGAAAGCTCTCGGCCAGCGCACGGCGCAACGTATCGGGAGGCAGAGCGCTCTCTTGCGAAAACTGCAGCTGCGAGAACAGGTCCTGAAATAAGACAATGTGACGAGGATTTAATGCACGAGCTACCAAACGAGATCTCGCCGGCCGATCGTCACGAACGCATCGACGAGAGACAAATAATAAATACCAATGTGATATAATCGAAGACGTGTCATTATGTAAATATATAATTTTAATTAATCATGTGAATATCTCTATAATTTTATTTTTGCATATGTTTAACAAGTAAATGTAAGCATATAATGGTCTAAACATATTATGATATTAAAATTTAACATAGAGCTCCTCCCTTTTAAGCTTAAATAAAGATTCTGATTCTCATTGATGTTGCCTCCATTAAACTATCAAACTATTTTCTTGTACCTACCCTTATAGAAATATAAGCGAAATAATTATTAGAAAATTACCGCACATCAATGACTTCTAATAATTCAATTACTGAACTCTAGTAATTGTTCAATGCTTTTTTCGTTCCCAGTTGTTACATTTCTGTAAGGGTATGTGTCTGTTATCCTTGCCATCCTGGTGTTAATTGCGTGACAAGCAAGTAGAGATACCAAAATGAAGCGGAATCAACAGGTGGAATAAATTTTCATCATATTATGGAAAAAGAAGTTTAGTCTGTGTACCACGCAATAACGAGGACGCTGCATCTTAATTCTATTGTACAACTAATATTTGAAATGTTTTAATATCCCGTATTTAGATAGCAAAATAATCTTTATTCGATACAGGAACTTTTTTAAATTTTATCTGCGTTACATATAATAGAAATTTTAAAAATAAAATATATTGCTATAAACAAATTTATAGCTAAAATCACTATGGGCGAATAAATGTGAAACAATGATGAATATGTAAGCACTATTGCAGACAGATTTGTGTAGACATTTTGTAAATGAACGAACGAGAGAGAAAGAGAGAGAGAGGAATAAATCTGAATGTTCTTGCATGGAGTTACGTTAAATCTTTATTACGTCACCGCCGATAAAACCGTTGGTTCCGTGATAAAATCACGTTGTAACGCTAAATCCACCGCATCGCTCTGCTTCTTGCATTTCCCTAATCAACATATCTGCCGGATAATCACGGTGCATAGGTAATTTTACGAAACGCAAGCGATTTTGCAATGAGAAGAAGGTGAGGCGAAGTCCTGGAGTCGCCGAGATACGCGATGGGACACGTCGACTCTATCTTGATTTCTACTACATCGGTCGCCGTACGCCACCGGCGTGACACATGGCAGAGGTCAAATAGAAGTACCGGACCGGTCGTAATTTGCGACCTATCGGCAGCAGCCAGATTCTAGTACGTTTCGTAACTAATCCTCCCCCACGCGACTAGTAAGTAGCGGTTGTAGAAAGTCGGTGCTGCGCTTCAAGGTGCTTGCCTAACGCAGAATTTCGACCAAAAAAATGCTGGATACAAAAGGAAGAGGAAACTGAACGACTCAAAGTGCGCCATGCAAAACTTGGTTTTTACACGATATGCAAAAGAGTTTGACAAAGACGTCAGATGATAGATAAAAGTCGATAGGGTGACGGAATAATAAGGCAGGATCAATTTCTAAAATTTTCTGGCGAATTTCAATGATTCAGTCGGAATTCGCTAGTCATTCTGTTACGTCTGTTACGTCTGAGCGGCAATCTAGTATGCTACTACGTCAATTCGCGTCTGAAGTGAAATTCCTCAATGAAAGTTAGTGCGTATCGTGTACTAACTGTCTACTGGCAATGACGGTAGTGACAGATGTGGTACGAGTCCCGGCCGACGTAAAAGCGACGACGGTAACGGCATGTCCATGTGCATGTGAAGACGAGAACGTGGCACCTGTTCGAGACAGGTTTGTCGCTTGATGCAGAAGAAGCCAGCCGGCTTCAGCGTACGTATCAGATATTGTGCCAGATCGAGCGTGTTCGTCGGACAAAAGCGGTGCTTTATCGGTCATTAATATGGTCGGCCGCGTATTTTGCAAAAATTAATAGAGTACTTCGAGATATAATATCTATCGCGCAGAAAAGGCTAAAATAGCAACTAACCTTCAGAATTAATAATCTTCGACGTTCGTCTGCCTTTGCGCGGAGAAAAGAGAGAGTAAAAATTATAACTACACATGTTACTACGGACACCTTCACACGATCAAGCATTCTCAGGCCACGGTCTACGGTAATTTCAGAGAAACCACACATGGTGGATTGTCTTAAGGTAATTAGTTTAATGACTAAATGCATTATCGGTTATTCATTATAACTAGATTCATTAGCACTCTTGCTATTAAGAGTACGATCCTCTAAACTCTCTAAACTAATGAAGAGATCGATAAAGTAAAAGCGTACTTTTTTCAGATCGTTCAGCTCAACGTTGCAAACCGAGTCTTCTTTCTCCATACCGCTATCTTCCCCTTCTTCTTTGATTCTATCCTCAATTTTAACTCTCGTCCCATCGCTTTTGATCTGATGGAGCATGAGTGACGGCGAGGTCGTCGCCGACATGGGCGTCGTCGTCGACACATTCTGACGAACCTTTATCCACTTCAACATTTTTACATCTTCCGTGCGCTCAAAGTTGGAGACGTAAAGGTCATCGTTTTTATTGCGTGCTACGATTCATTTTCAAGCATTAAAGAGTATTCAGTAAAAGATTTATTTATTCGTCCGAACGTTGATAAGCTCCAAAATTTAAATAAAAACATCACGAGTGCAAAATGACGCCTTCCGGGCCGGATAAAGATAAGTGTCAACTTCCACTCGGTAAAAGGCTCTTCATGACGAATTCTTGGTACGATAGCGTTGTTTGGAGTGTCTACACGCGACACTTTACGTGCTCGCCGGATAATATCATTTCGTATATTTGTCTTGTAATTTTACGTTGTGTTTTCTCTATGTCGATTTTCTTTCTTTTTGTGAGATAACGTCCACCGTTATCTCTCCCGTTTGCATCCACGTGTAGTTCCTTGAACTGTGATAGTTGTATCTCATTAAAGATAAAGTAGGGACAACAATCGTTGTTTTCTAGTGTACAATTCTTGTTGCATTTTCAAACCGTCCTGTCTTTTTCATTTTTGAGATTGTTGGACAACGTCGTAATGCGATAAATGCGGCAAGCAGTTATTTTGTGACGTAACTTTGAATAATAATACTACAATCGCAGCGCATCAGATGAACGAGAGACCGTGTAAGAACACGAAGAAAGGAGATGCGAAGGTTGACGATGAGCAAGCAGGCGAGAGCCAGAGAGGCAGATGCTTCTTCATAAAGAACGAAGGAAGAATCGTATCCACAGCAATTGCATACCGGATATGCTGGCAGAACTCGTTGCCAGATGAGTCGTAGGCTCGATTAAAAACGCAAACTCGTTTAGCTGGAAAAGTTGTCTTTTCGATTCGCAAACTTCGTATTATTGTGACAAGCTCGCGATTTCAATATCATCTCGACTCCAAGTAGCGAGTTCTCGGCAATCCTGATGAATATTCTTCAAGAAATCTTCTGCTTGTCAGAGAGAGAGCAATTGTCTGAGAAGATTAATTTTAAAATAATCGTATGATTAAAAAAAAACTCTTCTCCAAGGTACTCGTGAACGTCGAATGGGGATTCCTTTATGTCATTTCTTTGGACCAAGTGCAGAATAATTTTGCATAACTTGCAATTCCTCGAAATAACGATGGCATCGCTACTTGAATCAAACGTTAACGTGGACCACTTTGTTCCGTCTCGACATACCACGTGCTCCCCTCCTTCTGCCGCACTAACTTCTCAGAACAACGAGGAGCAACTTTCTTCCATCGCTATCGTTGCTCCATATCTTCGTATCTCAATATCCAATGTTTCTAACACAGTTACGCCGTTATTGTTAAATTATACAACACTTATTCATCTTCCATAAAAGGATATTACAACACCATGACGAAAGTAGATAATCTCGTCGCACGTTCGTTCACCTTACACTCCGGATTACCAAGAAGCGCGAGAATGAAAACGTTTTCCTTCGCACAGCTTCGACAGTTTCACAGTTTAAACAGCACGGTCGCGCGGAGAAACGAGAAGGAGAAGGCGCACGGAACTACCTGAACGCCGTGCACCCGTACCTGAAGCCAGCGGCTCGCGGTGTGCTGGCGAATATCCCCCACCCTCTCTTCTGGTTCTCTTCGTCTTCCTCGTCTTTCTAAGGGGCCACACGGTGTCGACTTTCTCGCTCCATCCCACCTTTCGATAGACCCAAGGAGTCAATGACGTCACCCGTTTAGCTGTCCTACGTTCACCTACCTACCTGAGCAACCTGGACCACAGCAGCCAAATCAGGGCCGTAGCTCGTTGAAGTTTCGGATCCACTTCTCTTCAGAGGAAGATAAATCGGGAGTGGAGTGGAGCTAAATTATCCTACCGTCGTTTTTGCGAAAATATCAATTTCTTTTATTGCTATTGGAAAAAGTCACGACGGACGCGATGATTTAACACGACTTAAGGGAAGTTCACTTTTCCATATCGTAATGCTATAATTTTCATTTTGTGAATCATTGCATATCATTTCGTGAATTATAGAATGCGTTAACCCTTCGGCTACGATTAAACTGGATACAGAATTTTGTCTAAAAAATACAGACGTCCCCTTTCGATGAAACAAATAATAGGTTAAAGTAAAGACATTCCTGCTCGACAACGATAAAGTATTTGGACCAAAAAAGTCACTAAAGCGGCGCGTCTTCAAAGGATTTAATCGTAAATGGTACGATGTTATACATTCGTAATATTTCGCACTAATTTGTTTCTGTCAGGAATATGAACAAATTGTTGTCTTTTTATATAATCATGAAATAAGTATTGCTAGTCGAATAGACCAGTTCATCGTCTTCATAGACGGCATCCGCATTCCGCTCCTGACGCTCGCTTAGCCAAGTTTATGAGAGTACGAAAACGTATTGCTCCATATTGATAAGTAGAATATTAACAAATCTAATACTTCACTATACAGGGTGTCCCGTAAAGAGCGTAACAACACTTAAAGTAAATGCCTGAGATTGTTTTAAAATAAAAATCTGATTACCAAAATATATTGAGACCGCAATTGTTTTTCAGTTAAAAGCATCTAGAGTTAGCGAATTAGGTCGCCGACAATTCGCGCGCTCGGGTGTGATACAATGAACAAGTAACGACGAAATCTGACTGTTGCTCTCTTGTCAAAATCGAATTGCGTTTATCACGAAAATTCAGAATCTTCGCGAGAGATTTGACGGTAAAGAAGACAAACAAATTGAATAATATACTTGGTCACAATTGAGACGGAAATATTTTATTTAATGTTACACGTAGATAGCGCATTGCGAAGGATTGATTTCACATATACACGCGTACAGGCATACACGCGCGCAGTACCAAACAGGAAATTGTATCTATTAAATCCTGCAGGCGATATTATTTAATCGAGAAGTGTGGGCACTGTCGCGTAAAAGAAGTACGTAGCTACTTACGTACAAGGACTTGGAACATTTCCTCCCTCGTTTACGAGACAGGATGCAAATCTGGTTAAGTTTGCTTGTAGAATAGTCGACTCTGAACGAGTATTAAACGATAACCTATCCGTCTACACTTTCAATCCTGTCGCGTGGACAATCTCAGCAATCGAGTTTCCTCAAAACGTTCCTCGGGAAAATAGCACAACGATATTAATTTTGAATGACAAGAAGCCACGTGAGATCTGTTATTAAATATAAAATGTAAAAAAGAAAGATGCCAAAGATTGTGAAAGAAAGGGTAATCACGAATTAGCAGTCTGAATCGACTTCGAGTACTCCGAACACGCAAGTTCAAAGGAACTATTAGGCGGCGGCCGGAAATGATCCGATAATAGCGGGAAATTATGTCAGGTGTCCGTAGCCGAAGTGGTAATCTGTAAATGTGTCTCTACCACAAATTGTCGCGGCGCGCAAAACAAAGTGTTACAAATCGTGTCTTCAGCAAAGCTGCAAGACGTATCGCGTGTTTTTTCGTTTCATAGATAACGGTTGTTCTTCGGCGGCAGTGAATGCTCTTAATTGAGCACTTTCCTAATTACGTCCAGTTGTCTATTATCATTGTCATCTAACAGCTAATTGTATTCAGAATAACGAAACATGCAAAGATACAAGAATTATGCTCAAACGCTGTCGATATAATCTGTACCATTAGAGAGACATTGTACGTTTCGTATCGCACAGCTGCATCGGAATTGAATTCTCATAATGCGACGATTATATAAATTTTCAACATCATTCCGGCTTTTCAGAAAATGCAAATAGATAAACAGGAAATCCTTCGCCGGCAGCTATCGCTTCCTGAATAACCATAAAGCTAAACTACATTGTTTGCGCCACATAAAAAATTTGGTTCCCTTCCTGATTAACTCAAGCAGAGTAACTTGGATCCTGATCATCGATAGTAGCGTTGAAAGTACGTGTTGAAACGAGTAGAAATACTCATAAGTTAATTCGAGGAAACGCATTTATTGTACTAAAAATTGCGAGATTTATATATTGTCGGGAAAAATATTTTTAACATGGGCATTTCTTGAAACTTTTGACAAACAAGAAAAATAGTATTACATTGCAAGGGGTCCTCCCACTGACGTCGAAGGATTCTCACTCCCATCCTCCCTTTCCCCAAAATGCATTCGCGGTGAATCATCTTAGGTCCTTCATTTGGGTTAAATTCCTCGTCGGGTGGTATTAATCATCATTGGTATGCAATAACGTAATCTTTTTCTTTCATGTATAGAAATTTCGTTGAATATAAAAACAATTCGTTTTTTTACATTTTAATATTAAGCTTCTAATCAGATTAATAAGTTTATTGCGATTTTTTAAATGTGCAGGAGTAAAGTTTATTTACTTGCAGTCTTTTTGCGTCACAAATTATTCGCAAATGTAATCAGTTAGATAAAATAACTATCTGAAATGATCTTCTAAGACGTCACGCTGTTTTTAAAAAAGGTTCAGATTGTACCTCGTAAACCTGTATCTTCCCAGCCACTAGCAGATAAGACAAGCCTATAGAAGATATTTCTATTATAGTTTGGGTCGCCCTACGTACAAGAGTGGCGCCTAAAAGTTAGCTACGGACACGAGGGGTAAATTGACTCAGCAAAGCTATTAACTCAAGCATCAAGGGCTTCTTCTTTGTTTCCGAGTAGCAATTATGTTACCTAATATTAAATTGTTCAATTATAAATAATGATGTGCGCAATTTACGTCTAATACAAAGATTAAGAAAATATACTGTAAAATGTTATTCACCATTACCTGCAATTAAATCGCACAATTATTGTCACATGAATACGCTCCAATTGTGACACGTTAACGTCTCGTGCCGTAACGTACTCTCCGCAGTAAGAAAATGAGCTTTGCTGAATTGCTTTCGAATTGCGGTAATTTTGGGCAAAATTGCGCAGGTGGAATAGACGAATCTGGTAACAATAAAGCGTACACGTTCTTCCGACCGGTAATTGTTCCTGCAAGTCGCGCCCGGTACCCCTACGCCTGAAGCAATTAACTCTCAAGATTGCTAATTAACCCCGTGAGAAGATCGGCGAGGAACTTGCGTTTCCACCTACTTCTCGAGTAGCCTCGAATGCGCGACGTTACCATTGCAGCCAGCTTGAAGCTAGTTCCTTCTTGTGCTAGATGAAACAGTTGACCTTCCACGATAAAAGCAGACAACGCTTGCAATGATGGACCAACGTGCGATTATAGTCGCGGCGCTCCTCGCCAATCACGAGCGAAAACCGAGAACAACGTTGTCCGTAGAGCGTCGATCCCGTTACAATAGTTAGTCGTATCTCCACATGATTGCAAAGAACGTGACAGAGAAAATGATACGATAGCAAATAAAATCAAAGCCTTCTATTATCGGCCTGCGCAACAACGGAGAAAGAAGACAAATAAATCCGTGCTATTAGCAATGTATAGCCTTAATAATATCTTCCACTTTCAGTTTAGACACTTCTGAATTGACCATATCACATATGTATAAATATCCGTGCACTAAAAGGCATTAATGTGACTTATTGCAAAAAGTTCGTAAAGTCCACAAAGTTCGTTAATATTTCACATATTCATTAGCAATGCAAAATATTATACTTAATTTTGAAACGTGCTTGTATAAGTTAAATAATATGGGAAAATTATAATAAATCAGGAAAATTGTAGTGAATAATAAAGTACAAGTGAATAATGAGCACATCGATGTAAAATTAACGTCTTTGTTGTGATTATTGGTTGAATAAATTTCGTTCGCATCACAGGTTTAATGTATACGTGCGAAGGGAACAGCTTGCGCGTTGAATGGAAAATAATAAGCTCCCTCACGCGTAAAATATCAAGATATTTTATCTGTTCGGGCACACCCCATTTTCGCTGTTACCGTGGGATTATTTCGAAAGACGATTCTCATTGTACTTCATACAGCGTAAAACTTATCTGGAAAAACACTCGATCTCCTCTTTGTATAAAAATTGTTCTAAGCGCCGTTTCCTTTTGCCGGAACGCTAAGTCGCCAGGGCTCATCGATACGTAAAAGTGTCAAGGTAGCGTATAAAAGATTTGTCATTGCACGCAACTGCTGTTATCAATCTCGTTGTAATTAAGGGGAATACAAAGAGAGGTGCTAGTAATGAGCGGGTTTTATGAACATCTTCTCTGCGTGTTCATCAAAGATTCTTTGAATTTGTCAAATAACATATAAAGGAACAAATGATTACATTAAGGAAATTATCTTCTTCCGCAATTTTGATTTGCTTACCTTAAGTGCGCAGAAAATGCAGGATTCTCGCATGCATGCATGCCCGGAGAGCTCTCTGAAGCTTCGGCGAAAAATGTCGAGGTGCCACAAGACCTAAAAAAAATAACAATAATAGAGAGTTAAATCAGTATAATTGTTTAAATGGAGTAAATTTTTTAGTTATACTGTTCCAAAAGTGACTGTCCGCCAGAAATAACATAAATATCATATACATACTAGCAAAAGTCACATTCGAAATGTTATACCTTTGCACATTATTTACCATCGTAATTTTTTACATTTACATAAGCAAAAATAATTGTATGCGTCTAATAACTGTAATATTATTGAATATTTCTTTAACATTATTGTATTGCCAGTTTTATTAATTTACCAACCGCTAAGGATGTCATTAAAAATTTCGACATCGGTTTCGACTGAATTTACCGTGTCCTTTGTATTAGCGTACGACACCGAGTCGAGAAAGGCGGCGTGCACGTGGGTGTACACGTAACACAAACAAAAATGTAAATGTGTCGAGACGCTACATGGCATCGATCTATAGCCATATACGACAGTAACCCAATGCGAGCGCATTATTATACAGGGGAAAGTAAATCACACAATTTCCGTACCCATGCCCTGCATAGCGGAACATGACTTCCTCTTTATTTTTTGTATCACGATGCGAAACAATATTCGACACTTTTTAGGGTATATTTATATCTTTCTACAAAACACTTCCCGCCTGAACATCGTAATAATCGTATGAGAGAGTTTACTATAAATATTTTTAGAATAAGAACGCGTAAATTTGTTCCCGTATTAAACAAGATATATTCTACAAATGTTAAATATCACTAATGAGAAAAAAACTAGTTTTGTTGGTTGTTTTAACTTCAACAACTTTTAATTAAAGTTAAACGAAATATGATAATTATAGTAATCCTTATTATGGCATCGCACGCTCGTGAAAGGTCGATACGTTACAGAAAATCTTTTTATTGCGTGTCGTGAGAATCGTGAAGATGAGAAAAACAAAAACAACCTTTTTACGAAAAGATGTAGTGCTCGAAACTAACAAGTGGAAGAGAAGTGTGTCATCGTACACGGTATCTAATCTAATCTAGGGTACCCACAAAAATTTGAGAAAAATATTAACAAAAGTTTGTCTAGTAATTCGTACTTTTTAACTATTTCATGGCATACAATTATTATATTCAATTCTTTATTTTTCTCTCTCTCTCTCTCTCTCTCTCTCGCTCGCTCTCTCTGTCTCTGTCTTTTCTAATAAACTTAATTTATAAATGCAAGCATACCTTTTTCATCACACATCGCTGTTATTATAATCGTAAATAATGATGCATTACACTTTTTTCCATTGGCAAATTTACTGCAGAATTATAATTTCATAAAGCACAATCGTCTCAAGTACGTTGATACCTGCTAATTGGTTTGCTACTCAATGCACGAACCAATTAGCGGCAGAAGCCTGCGAAAGGCTCCAGTGTAACGGTTGTTAATGCTTATTAATCCAGCGATTATTTATCAAGCATATCGTATAGCCGATGATTTCTAATTGGATACAGTACACCTCATGTAATTATACAAAAAGATTTTAAAAATACCAAAAAAATATATATATAATTAAGTTTTCAATATTTTTATATCTATATTCTTCTATGTATAGCTACAAAGATTTTTATATAATGTAAAGAAAAGCACGGGGAAAACCAAAATTCGTTGTAATATTAATAATACTAGCGTAAAAATTTTAATTACGTTCTATCTATCGATAATATGTTATGAAGCAATAATAATTAGATTTAATTAACGTGTAACTAAAACGTAAAATTGAAATATGCGTCACCATCTACGCATAATTTACCGCTCGTCCAAGCGTGTTAAGAAAAAATTCAAGAACGATCGCATGAATTGTGTCTGATGAGAGTTTCAAAGTGCTCCAAATACCTAGTTACTGCTGCGTGACGATCGTGCGAGATATTTTCCATGATACTATTATTACAAAGCTCATACGGGCTACTTCTGCACATAGCGCAAGATGGTTTTTCAGTACTGAAACTTGTCTCGCGCCCTAGTAATTTAAAACTTTATAAGTGATTATTTATAACTTTTACGAGTGATGCATCTATTGCATCCATCATGCAACAGGAAACAGGCTGCTACGTGAACATCGTTTTACCGCGTTTTCTACAACCGCAAAACACCTAATTTCCAATGATTGAGAAACCGCAAAGCGTCAAAACTTTTCGGCCAATTTCTGACGCGTCCACCTCGTCAGGGAATTAAATTGTCATTCTGCGTTTTGCCGATAAACTTGAAACATCGGTATCATATTTTAGGCTGCCGCATAAAGTCGCACGGTTCGCGCTAGGTCAAGTTAATTACTAGGAGGAAAAAAAAGCGCATTGTGCATTCCGCGGGATTTTCTACAGCGCAACAAACGGAAAGTGCCGCTACGTTATCGTTGGAAAATTGCGCAAATAAATTATCCACCGTTTTATACAACCACGCCCCTCGGATCGACCTTACACCTTCCTGCAATAGGTGCGTACCGATATTTGTATTACTTGCAATATTTCGAATTGCAAAACAAATAATCAAGAAATTAAAATAGTCTTTGTTAAATGCGCATTGTTTGAGAATTAAATAAATCCACCTGAGTCGGTAAAACATAGCTTAAGTCCGCTTGTAATTACATGATGCTTTAATTGCAATATTATTATTATTACAAGAAAACATTTTATAAGTATTTAAAATATTCCTCTATAACAATGTCTGACACACACACACACACACACACTCACACACAGTCCAATATGACATTTAAAATGGATGCAATATTATGTGTCGCACCATCGCGTCAAATGTCATCTGACAACGTATGTAAACATATCAATTTAAATGAGTGAAACGCTAAAAACATAATGAATTATTAGTTAATTTTCATGCCTCTCCCTCATAATCCAAGAATATCGACGTAAGATGATTTATACGCCGCGGATGCTTTGAGAATCAACAGGTACTCCGCGCGAGGTAGGATAGATATAACGGTATGTACAACATCGCGCGATATCGAACCGCAACTTTTAATGACATTAGCTGGTGCCAACGATGAGCCGAGAGCAATAAATAATAGAAGAGAAAAGAGAAACCGTGAGACCGAACCTTGGCAATCTGGAAGAGGGCCTGCCTTCGCGGCCTCTGATCCTGCTTCATAGCGGCTGGTCGGTTTGCTCCAATTTGCGGTCACCGTTACTTCCTCATGAAAATCCGTGGCGCAGCACTTCGCAAAATCATCGACGATCGTGCCGATTACGAATTGCACTGTACATTACGCACTGGTCCCCGAGTAATAGAGGAAACGTAAGGCGCGATACGATCGCGCAGGATACTCTCTTAAGCGGGCGTCGATGCAACAATGCCCGTACGGAGCCGGGAGACTTCAACGGCGACGGCAGCGCTACGCGGGACTCTTGTGGGCAGGTAAGAAAACGAGCGGGGACCGATGAACACGGTCGTGGGTCCGCTGATACCAACTATAGCACGATGTACAGTGCGCTATAATGCGACGTCGGTGCCTCGCAGGGGCGCATCTCTTCTCGGCACGTATCGAAAACCTGTTCGCGTCAATTTATTCTAAAGTATTGATCTCAATTTCTTTTTAAATAAACACGCAATGGCACGATACGAATGTTTGTCAGCTCGTGTCGTATTTATAGTCTCAAGCAAGCTACTTTTACAAATTATCTACCAAAAGATCGTGCGAGTCGAAATAAGAAATAAATTCCGACTTTTCATCTGTTATTTTACTTCTCAAAAAATATGTATAATCGTGTAAATGATAAAGAACATTGTTAATCACGATATATCAGCTTTAACGTGTTATACCCGTGCAATATAAATACGTACTAAAATATTATATGAGCGACAAGACAATAATAAACGATAAAATACCAATAATAAATAAGTAGAAATATGCTAGGCGTTAGTTAGTGTAAATATGTTATCTGCGAGCGGAACACCATCCGGTCCTATTTACTACAGTCTACACAAGCATTGACCATTTTTACTACGGGGCCTGGCGTGGGTGAGAGGCCCGGGGTCAGTCGGCCTATCAAGCGGGGGACGAGGAGAGGATGAGGTTAGAGTGGGGGCGACCAGGTTTTCAGAGGAGCGGAAAGGGGGAGATAGGGAACACAGAGAGTGCCGCGGAAGAGGATTGCGGTAAGGGGGAGAGGCGCGGGGAAAAAGCGAAGAGTGGGAATGGCGAATGAGACGGAGGGTGGAGGGGGAGTCATGGGACTGACAACGTTTTACGTTACGCTACACTGCTACGAGAGATCGTTACGCAATTTGATTCGGGAAAGAATGAACGAGTGAGCGATTTGGGAACTCTCTCTCTCTCTTTCCCCTCAGGCCCGGTGGATCCCTCGAGTCCGATGCACGATGGACGGTTAAATTAATTTATAAAATTCACAAGGCTCTAATGCGAAAACACAAATACGAAGTAGTAAAGGAATAAGAGCCAAGACAGGATGTTAGTGTCTAAACAATTGTAATTTAAAAATAAATTTAAAATATAAATAATAAATGACTTCATTATAAAAGAATGTATTGTCATATGCAGAGATAGTAGATTACCACTTGCTCCACCAATTAGACGTAATAAAAGCAACGTATGCTTTTTACGTTCCATGTTTATTAAAGAACGTCAATTTCATATACAGAGAGAAAACAGACAGACATTTCATATACAGAGAGAGAGAGAGAGAGAGAGAGTATGTTCTTTTACCGTAAAAGCGTTATGATCTGCTATAGTAATTATCGAGACGATTACAATATTCGTCGAAAAATACAGCCTTTTAGCTGCAAGGGCAGCTGTTGGCAGACGAGTTGCCCGCCGCCACACAATGGTGGAGTGCAGCACGAGAATCTCTTTTTCGCAGTACAGAACGCGCTTGCATATGGTCATGCTTTCGATAGCAATCGATACACGCGTACGAACTTTTTCGACTTGCCTACACAATAGCAAGAAAGGCAGGGAGTTATTACGATACCAGTTATTGCAACAGAGTGCATACAGGCCCACG